ACGCATGATCTTTCACAGCTGCAAACTCCGACTCCCTACCATGGCACTGAAACTATTACTGTAGGTAATGGTCATACTTTACCCATCACTCACACAGGTTCAGGCTCAATTCACACCCCGAATGGTAAATTTCACCTCCACTCCCTTAATCATGTTCCCTCCCTTACTTCAAACTTACTGTCCGTTCACCGCTTTACCAAAGATAATAATTGCACTCTTGTTTTTAATGCCAACTCCTTTCAGATAGTGGACAACGATACGAATCTGGTGCAGTACACAGGCCCCTGTGAGCATGGTCTCTATACCCTTCCTTCCAAGCCTATCCCTGTTGTGCGTCAAGCTGTCACTGCATCCACCTGGCATCGCCGGCTTGGACATCCGGCTCCTGTTGTTTCCAAGTCTATTTTGTCTACTTTAGGGTTTAAATTTTCTGATCACTTACATTGTGAGTCCTGTCATGTGTCTAAGTCTTGTCGTTTATCCTTCGAACTCTCTGAACATAAGGCCACAACGCCTTTTCAACTAATTCATTCTGATGTTTGGGGACCAACCTCTGTTCCATCTATCTCTGGTTTTCGTTTCTATATCTACTTTAAGTATTTTAAAGTAGAGAATTTGAAAAGTTTGTGACTTTTAGAGTGTGACTTCAGCATTTCTCATACTTCACTGTCTACTCATAGTGATATTTTTTTTCATTTTCTTTGTTCATAAACTTTACTTTCTCTTAGTTCCAAAGTGTTGTCTAATCTTTTAGTAAAATAAAAGCTCTATTTGTTATCCCGTCGCATCCCCGAGCCATCCACATAAAGAAAGAGATCTTCATTCTTCAACCTGAGATGGTAATATCTAAAAGTTGAATGGTGGGCTGCCAGTCATGTTTGTCTTTACGATCTCCGTAGAGATGTGATAACCAAAATAGATATGTACAAGATCCGAATATTTCACTTTCCTTTTTGGTAATTATTACATGTACTTATCAAATCACGAATTATCTTTTTATTTAGTTTTCACTCTTAAAAACTCATTAAGGACAAATGTGAAAGACAAATATTTCTTTATTTTCATTAATTTATTATTTCTCTACTAGAATAATAGCCTCGTTTTTTTGAGGCGTCTTTAAAAAACAGTATATTCATTCTATGAAATATTTGCACTAAATAGCACTAAAACTTAAGTCATTTTTCTAAATAGCACTTAAACTATTTTATTCTTTAAATAGCACTTAATAATGTCCATAATGACTAGTGATTGCGAATATTTACTTGAATAATGACTAATGCATAATGACTAAAAGTGCTACATTGGAAAGAAAAACACATATGATGCTATTTAGAAAAAGTCATTAAGTTTTAGTGTTATTTAAGTAAATTCCTCTTCATTCTATTGTCATGGTACATAATCGCAGATTATTTGCAAAAGAGTAGAACATGCACCTACTACTTATTGAGGTCGCTTAGTATAGTTGTCGTTTAGTATAATTGCCTCATAGTGTAGTTGATAAGAAACCATAAAGTTTTTAGGCATCAATTACACCATCCAACTTGAGTTATTATGCTAAGAGAGTCATTGGCACACAATCCATAAAGTTTACATCTGCTCGATCGCCACACCCGTGAAGCTAACAAACAAAACACTCTTAATTCCCTGCAGGGTGGGTGGCTGGCTGGCTGTTCTTTCTTCCTTAGCTTGCTTTCCATGCATCATCACACATTTTCATTATCATCATCATCATCATCATCATCATCATCACTGTGTGTGGCTCGTCTGTCTTCTGAAAGACCATAGAGCCCATCCAAATCCACTACCTGCATTATTTGTATGTATAATGAGGAAGATGAAAGAGGGGTGTGAGGTTGAAGCATTAGGCATCAATTACACCATCTCCTCCTCCTCCTCCTCCTCCTCATCCCATCACCACCGCTACCAGCCTTTCAATCATAATAACCTTCTCTCCTGCACCCGCCCGAGAGACCAGCAAGAAGAACATATTCCCCGCCGGCGTGTCGTGTTGAAGGACGTCAGCTGCCGCGCCAAGCCGTGGGAAATCCTCTCCATCGTCGGCCCCAGCGGAGCCGGGAAGTCGTCTCTGCTCGAGATTCTCGCCGGGAGAATCCGGCCCGACACGGCCTCCATCTTCTTGAACCGGAAGCCGGTCGAGCCGGCCCGGTTCAAGAAGCTCTCCGGGTACGTGGCCCAGAGGGACACCCTCTTTCCCCTGCTGACAGTCGAGGAGACCCTGACTTTCACCGCCAGGCTCCGGCTCGGCCTGCCCCGTCCCGAGCTGAAGTCGAGGGTGAGCCTCCTGATTCGAGAGCTCGGGTTGGGCCACGTTGCCGGAGCGCGCGTCGGAGACGCCGAGAGAATCCGGGGGGTTTCCGGCGGAGAGAGGCGGCGCGTGTCCATTGGGGTGGAGGTGATCCACGACCCGAGGGTTCTGATCCTGGACGAGCCCACGTCGGGGCTGGACAGCACTTCGGCTCTGCAAACCATAGACATGCTGAAGCTGATGGCGGAGACCCGTGGCAGGACCGTAATTCTCAGCATCCACCAGCCCGGATTCAGAATCTTGAAGCTCTTCAACTCAATCCTCCTCCTGGCCCACGGTTCCGTCCTCCACCGCGGAACCGTCGACCAGCTTACCGCGAGGCTGCGCCTCATAGGATTGCAGCCCCCTCCCCACGTCAACGCCCTCGAGTTCGCCATGGAATCCATCGACGCCATGCTTCAAGAACAAACCCCTCATCCCGAAACACCCAACCAAACCCTTCGAGAGCTCTTCCAACAATCAAAGGTTGTCGACGAGGATGCCCCCATTGTTGCCAACGATCCCGATCATTCCGTTCACGGGTTCCCGAATTCTTGGACGACGGAGACGGTGATCCTAACGCACAGGTTCTGGAAAAACATCTACAGAACGAGAGAGCTTTTCGCTTTCAGGAGTGTTCAAATGCTGATCTCCGGTTTGGTGCTGGGCTCGATCTTCTTCCACCTCGAAGACGACTTAATCGGGGCAGAAGAAAGGGTGGGACTCTTCGCGTTCATATTGACATTTCTTCTGTCGAGCACGACAGAAGCTCTGCCAATATTCCTCCAGGAAAGGGAAATCCTGGAGAAGGAGACGTCGAGCGGGACCTACAGAGTATCCTCATACTGTGTAGCCAACGCGCTCGTCCACCTCCCATTCCTCCTCATCCTCTCCCTCCTCTTCTCCCTCCCACTCTACTGGCTCGTGGGGCTAAACCCCTCCGGCGCGACACCCTACCTCTACTTCCTCCTCATCATATTCCTGATCCTCTACACCGCGAACTCCGTCGTGGTGTGCTTCAGCGCCCTCGTCCCCAACTTCATCATCGGAAACTCGGTCGTCTCCGCGGTGATGGGATCCTTCTTCCTCTTCTCGGGATACTTCGTGTCGAAGAGCGGGATACCCGACTACTGGATCTTCATGCACTACATGTCCCTCTTCAAGTACCCGTTCGAAGGGCTGCTGATCAACGAGTTCTCCGGGTCGCCGGAGAAGTGTCTGCAGAGGGTGTTTGGGAAATGTGTGGTGACCGGAGAGAAGGTGATGAAGGAGGAAGGAGGGTATGGAGAAGAACAGAGCAGATGGAGGAATGTGGTCTTCATGGTCTCTTTCATTTTGCTTTACAGACTCATTTCTTATGTTATTCTCAGGTTTAGGTGTTCCCATGGACGAGGAGGAGGAGGAGGAGGAGGAAGAATCCGCATAGATTTTCTTCACAATACTTTTAAGACCAATCCCTGAACCACAGCCAGCTCGATCTCTCTTGCCTGGACGAACGGATATTAGTTTTGCTTTATTGTTGTAAAAGCCAAATATAATACCGGAGGATAATTAGCTGGCACTCCTCATTATATTATGGAGTAATAACTTAGGACCGTTTGTAAAGCCAGAAAATGGTTTTTAGAAAATGACTTTAAGAATATGAGTTATTTTCTTGAAATCATTTTCATCCTTTTGGCCTCATTATGGAATAATAACTTAGGACCGTTTGTAAAGCCCGAAAATGGTTTTTAGAAAATGATTTTAAGAAAATGAGTTATTTTCTTAATATCATTTTCAGCCTTTTGGTGTTTCGTTGAAAGTATGAAAAGTTTTTATTTCTCTTTGGTTCATTTTTAGAAAATGAGTAAATCAAATATGGAAGAATCCTAAGGCTCTCATGGAGTGCACATCTAGAAGAATCGCTCCGTAAAATTGAAATGTTTCGTAATCCTAATATGTAATCTAGATATGGAAGAATAGCACCTTTGTCCTTCGAAGACTTGCATTTGGAGTCCATAACCTCCGGGCTCCGCCTCTTGCTTAATTGCTTGCTTCTGTATTGCAAGTGGAAGAAGAAGACATATTGCTCCCAGAAGAAGAAGGCGGTCAAAGCCAATGGCAAGGCTTCCATGGATGAGGATCTTGCTCCTATTGGGGAGGAAGATGAGTCCTCATTCGAGCGCATCTACATAGGAGAGGCAACGGGTGTCAGCATTTGATCGTCTAGACGATGGTCACTCGTCTCAAAGAGAAGACTTAAGAAACAAGCTCAATGAACGATGGGCCGAATCTTTGACGACCTCTCCACTGGCTCCCGCTCTTGGAGACTGGCATCCTCACCGGACCAAGAAGAACGGGATATGGACGAACTATATGAGACCATTGGTGAACTGAAGAAAAGGATGGATGCCAAAGAACCCCTATTGTGAGGCGATCTTAGATGAGGTAACCCCTTTCTCCCGAATGATTTTATCTTGTCCCCTTCTTACGAATTTCAAGGCGCCCCAAATCAAGGCATACAATGGGGAGGCTGATCCCGAGGACCACTTGTCCCGATTTAGGGCCAATGTGGTCATGTTACTGTACCCTGAGAAGATCAACTGCCGCTGCTTTTTGGTGACCTTGGAGGGACTAATATGCGACTGGTTCTACAAACTTCTGGAAGGATCCATCAAAAAATGGAACAACTTGGAGAGGAAGTTCCTCGAGCACTTCACGGCAAGTTGTCGCCAGAAGCTTCCCTATTTCCACCTGCTGAACTTCAGGGTACGGAAGGGAGAGAGACTCTGAGAATTCATATCTTGATGGGAGAAGGAGGCAAGGGATGTTCAAGGGGTAGACGACTAAGACTTGATTGCAATGCTCCAAGCGGCACTCCCTTAGGCGGATGTGCACAAGGGACTAAGAAGAAATATGCTTCCAACATACCAGGAAATACAAGCCAAAGCAAAATTATTGGCTCTCGAGGAGGATGGTGAAGATTCTCATGACGAGGTCCCGAAGAGTAAGAAAACTCCCTTAGCCAGGAACTAGAAGAGAACTATACCAGATGTCTAAACCTGGTGGGATATAAAGCGAGTCGCGCTACAAAAAAAACGTGTTATTGGCACGGACTTTGGCACAGACGCCGATTTTAATTTTCCGTGGCAACAACATTAGGCACGAAATTTGGCACGGATGAAAAGACCTGCCAATTTCGAAGCTCCAAAACTTATGACACGGATTTCTTATCCGTGCCATAGAAAGGCACAGAATTACCCGTGCCGACACCATTCCAAACTCACGGTTTAAAGGAAAACGTCAATGTTTCTAGGCACGGATCTCGTCGTGCCAAATGAGTATTCTTACCATTCCGTGCCTTTTCAAATTTTCAAAATTTGAAAATTTATTTTTTTAAATGATGAATATTGGTCCCTTTGTTAAGGAACTATTCGTGCCTAAATTTTTAAAAATAAAAAAATAAAAATTTTAATTCGGCAATTTTATAAAATTTAACAATAAAAGCATTTAATATTCACACCATAATAACAGAACTGATTAATTAAATTAAAATGTCAAATAATATTCATCACATCCAACAAATAATAAATGTTCATACCACATTCATCTCACAAATAAAAATAACAGTTACATATTATCATAATTTAAATAACTTTTAACATCACAGTAATTAGAATTACGTCCTTCAGATGAATTTTGGGCAGGGATAGGAGTTGATTGAAATAAGGGCATATGAGGCATGAGAGGTTGGGATGCATAATAATAAAAGGTGGGGGTTAGATGTTAATTCATGAGCGGGGTCAGACTTCGAATTCATGAACGGTCGAACTTGAGAAGAATACAGGCCTTGGGTCAAAAAATAGACCAAATCCTTAAATCCCTGAAATTGAGTTAACAATTCTCCTTGCAGCTTCTCTATAAAAAGAGTAAAACAATTTAAACTTTATTAAAGATGAAAGTTAATAATTCAGAGTAAGGGAATTAAAAAAAACTCACCTTCTTCACAAACAACCGGTTGATGACCCTGAAGCAATTAGGCGTGTCAGGCTCCTCCTCCTATTAAAAAAATTGAATTAAATTATTCACATAAAGTAAAAAAATTGATTTAAATTATGACCGATTGCTGGCTGAACGAAAAAAATTGGAAAAATAAAGTAAATAATTTTAGAAAAATAAAATCGAAAGGAAAAAAATATTGTAAAAAACATTACCCCTTCACATCAGACTTGGTGATGAACTGTGGGCGCTCGGCGTACATCACAACGCTCTCTTCTGTGTGAGGAACCACCGCTTCTTCTCCTTGCTCGTCACCTCCGCCCTCAACCATCTCCTCACCCTTACCTTGCTTTTTTGAAAAAGGATTACGGGGTAGCCGCCGGCGAAGGAGATTCTGACGACCCTCTAGACAGCGAACGACGGAAGCTACCCCACCCCAGCCAGGATACTCCCCCAAAAAGAAGTGTTTCTTGAAGAAGACATTGTTAGGAAGGGAGAAGAGATAGATCGTAGATGGCTGAGGACGGGTAAGGGTAAGGGCGGAGGAGAATAGCGGCAGCCTTGGAGGAGAGTGGGGAAGGGTTGGGGAGTTTGCGAAAAAATGAGACTCGTCGAATGAAAGAGTTTTAATATTCTTTAACTTAGGCACAGGCTCCGTTGTGCCTATAGCGCACCCTAATACACTTTAATAAGACGCACCATAGGCACGGATATATCCGTGCCTATGCCCGAAACTTATACGCATCATAATTAATGCAGGCAATGGCAGGGTTATGGGCACGGATATATCCGTGCCTACGTCCGTAACTTATGCGCATCATAATTAATGCAGGCAACGGTAGGGTATAGTCACGACAATATTCGTGCCTACGTAAAGCTCGTCAACGGCTTTGTCAGAAAAGGTTCTAGTATTGACCGTTGGCACGAACTATTTTGTGCCTATGTTTTGAAATTATCACCGTCGAATGAAACTGGTGACGATTTTAGAATTACGGTGTTGGCACGAACTTAGGCTCAGAAAAGCCAAAGCCAACGCCCTTCACGTATTAAATAGCGACGCGTGGCGTTAAGTTTTTTCCGCGGTGAAGGCACGAAACGTCCGTGCCTATATTTCCGTGCCAATCACGTGGTTTTTTTGTAGTGTCAGGCGCCTGTTACCATCGTCTAGAGTCTCCCTCCCCCGTCACAATACTAGGAAAGCCTAAGCGTCAAAGCCACTGATTTTGAAATTGTTGCCATAGAATGGAACAATCGGGCGCCATTGATTTTGAAATTGTCGCGTCTCCTGAAATTGTTGCATTTGTGGGTTTGGCTTAGATCGTAACTCGGAAATTTAGAAAAGGGGAAATCCAAGGATGGCATAGGTGGTCGAATGAAATGGATTCATTATGCACATATATGTGAAAAGGATTAAATTTAATGGATGATCAATGAAAAGAATGATAAAAGGTGTGTGAAAATAGTGCTTGGAAGATCGAGGTGATTAAATAGAGGAACATTTTTTATTTTTTATTGTTAGAAACAAAAAATGTAAAAAATTGACCTTTGAAATGGTTGAAAGCAGCAACAAAAGAAACGGAAAAAGGGAAGGGGAAACCCAACCTTTCTGTTCCCGCTAGATGGGGGTGGTGTTCGGTGTTCCCCTTTTTCCAGTGCACCATGCGGCGCTTTTTGCCCGGCCTTCCCATTCAAACCCTTGGGCCTAAATGAGGGGTCTATGATTTATTTTCAAAAAAAAATTATTATTTTTAAATTTTATATCTATAATCAAATAAATTAAATTAAAAATAATTTAAGTCAAATATTGTAAACTGAATTGAGAAAAAGGTTTTAGGAGGAAGGGACTACTAATTTTGCTTTACTGATATACTTTATGTGTGCATAGAAAGCATTTAATGACATACTACATTCGTTTGTAAAAATATTTCCTATTTCGATTTTTGCTAGTTTTATTTTCACGATTTGGCTTTCCAATTAAAAGAGATACAAATCACTTAAATAACTTATTATATCAATGCAAAGTCGATAGAGTATATCGCAATCACTTTATTGGGATATATTAGTCATTTGGATGTGTTTTCAAAGAAAACAAAAAAAATATGAAAGAAGAATTGTTTTTAAAAAACAGAGGGACTAGCATCTTCAACAGAATCAAATGTTGGACTTTAACCATTAATATATACATTGATACATAAATATATTTTATAAAAATTTGATATTTCAAAATTATGTTTCAAAAGAATTGTTGATACTACAATTATTTTATAATACATTGTGTTTTTTCTGCATATCGATGTCAAAATTTACAAATTTTGACCAAAAAAAGTCGAATGAGAATTTTTTTTATAGTTGAGTTAGTGCCTTGTTTGGGAACATCATTTTTCGATTAACATTAGCATTTTTGATAAAATTTTAATGATGTATATTAATTCTAGAAACACTAACGCTAACATTTTCAAAATGCTAAAACCAATTTCTAACGCTGATGCCAAACGGGCCCTAAATAACCAATTTGACTACTTCCCCACTCCTAAAACTAATTTCCGGTTATGTTTTATGATTTTTAACTGAAACTATTTTCAATTCATTTTTTTGAAAATTGGTGTGAGATTTAAAAAGAAAAGTTATATATTTAAAAAACTATTTCATAAAATCTACTCCTCCGTCCCTTAAAGTTCTTCCTTTATTGACTTTTTTTGAGAATTTAATGGAGAAATATTTTTGTGTTGACTTT